AGACCTCTACCAAGCCATTGTTCAAAATAACTGGCCCTCGGGTTCAAAAAATTGGGCCCCGTCCCCCCCATGGGGTCATTGAATTTTCATTATATACATATAGTGAAAACTTGAAAAAATCTTCTGGTCTGAAAGTAAATGGCCTAGAGCTTTGATATTTGGTCTATGGTATTATCTATAGGTCCAAAACCAAAAAGTTGTTCAAATTTTGTTTATTCCTAGAATTAAATCGGCCCCGCCCTGGGGGGGGGGATCATAGGTTTTTTCCTTATATGTATATTGTAAAAACCTAAAAAAACTCTACTTCTCTGAATTTGTAAAAAGCTACAGGTTAGATTATTTTGCATGTGAAACAATGTAAAATTGTCCTCTACCAAGATTGATCAAATAATGGGCCCTCGGGTCAAAATTGGCCCTGCCCCGGGGGGTCATTGATTTTCATTATATACAATATAGTGAAAACTTGAAAAAATCTTCTTTTAAAGAACCCAAAGAGCTAGAGCTAAGATATTTAGCATGAAACATCTTCTAATGGGTGTCTACCAAGTTTGTTCAAATTAAAGCCCTTGGGTCAAAATTGGCCCCGCCCCAGGGGGATCATTGATTTTTTCTATATGCATATAGTAAAAACTTAAAAATCTTCTTTTAAAGAACCCAAAGAGCTAAGCTAAGATATTTAGCATGAAACATGTTTCTAAATGGATGTCTACCAAGTTTGTTTAAATAAGAAGAGCCCTGGGGTCAAAATTGGCCCCGCCCCGGGGGACATTGATTTTCCTTATATGTGTATAGCAAAAACTAAAAAATATTCTTGGAAATAACCCGAATAGCTAGAGTTTTTAAAATTAAGCTGAAAAAACTTTAGTATTGTCTACAAAGATTGTTCAAAATAAAAACTCTGGGGTCAAAATAGTTTTGTGTAAAAAAAAACTTAATTTTTTTTTTAAAAAAAACCCAAAAAAACCCCAAACTGACTTAGTGTTTTGATGAAACATTTTTTGGGTGTTTTTACCAAATTTTTTAAATAAAACCCCGGGGGGTTTTTTTAATATTTAAATTGCTTTGCTTTCCTTTGTTTATTTTTGTAAAAAATATTTCATTTCTGCCTTTTTTTTTTGTGAGTTTCCAAAAAATTCATGGAATATGAAATTTTTTGTAATAAAATTTCCACTAAAAACCAAAATGGGGGAAAAAAAAATTTTGCTTTTTTTTAAAAAAAGGGGGAATTCCTGTGAATTGGTCTTAATGATTGTTTTGTGTGGTTTAAAAAGGGCAAAACGAATTTAGTTTTCACTTAAATGATACACACGTTTATAGCAATGTTTCATTTGACCTGTTATTATGTACTATTTCATACTATTTTAAACAATAAGTTGGCTTTATAAAAATACCTTCGAGTTTTGACAAAATTTTAATGACAAAAAGTATAACTTTTCATCAATTTTTCAATGTTTGGAGATAAAATGACAGAGAGAAAGACACCAAACAATATTGAAACGTAAATACCGCTTGCCTCGTTATAAAGATGCTTCAATATATCTGGGAAGTCTTATGACACGTGAGGGATCTTCTTTTTATTAGAATTTTAAACACTCACATCATACGGTGTTAAGTATTGTATGGTACCTGCAAAATGTAGTTAGACACATGATCAGATATAACATATCTATTTTAGCAAATGATAAATTGTTACTTTTTTCATTAAATATATGTGCATTCACTTATAAGTCTTTCAACGCACTTTTTTCAAGAAATAGTTGAAATACTTTATAAGAATATCCAAATGATACATTTCCATTGTTTATTCTTAAATAATTGTATTACATAATGACAAATGTGCCAGATGTAGACCAATCTGTTATTTCGTTATTGGGATATTACATGGTTAAGGAGGATGATATAAATGACCTTCACGTATTTGTCCTGGAAACGTTTCGTAATGAATTGACACAAATAATTCCAATCTATTGAGCAAAGCAAAGGTTTGATATCTTCTGATACTAGAACAAATTACTATATGCTATGACCATGGATGATTTATAGCTTTGACCCACATGTGAATAGGAAAAAACAATGATTTTATTGTATGTTTTTTTCATCTTTAAAATGACTAATTCAACCAATATTTTACATGAAACTGTATTTATTTATTTTTTTTATAATGTCATTTTGAGTTTCACTAACTTTGATATGAATATCTTTCATCTTCAAAACGACTAATTCAACCAATATTTTACATGAAACTGTATTTATTATTTATTTTATTATGTCATTTTGAGGTCTTACTTTGATATGAATTTTGGATGCGACCCTTCACAGTTCTGACTTAACGTGACTTGTTAATCGAAAATATTTGTAAGAACACATTGTTTTCAGGTACGCGGGTAATACGTTATTCATTTTACAAGGCTATCTTAGTAGCCGTTATAGGAGTGCAGAGATACTGGTATTGCCTGATTATTTTGTAAATTTTTAAGTGAAATACAAAAGTATTTGATCGTTTTCGTATACCACATTTTTTATTTTATGCTATTCACCTACCATAAATACGTGCAGAGGCATACTGTCGCCACTTTGTATATAAACACACACAACTTGTTTATTACTGTCATCAAAGTAAACTTATACTATAATATTGGGTTTTGTTGAAGTTGTCATTGTGCAATGTTGTTTTTGATAAAGATAAAATGTAAGTAAAAGTAAAGTTTATTTATGTAACATAGGCCTCCGGCCCAAAATACAACATAATACAACAAACATGAAATAGCAATGGTAAAATATATGGAGGAATATTAACGCCAAAATTACATCTTGCTTTCTTACGTTACATCGTGCTTTCTAACTTGTACATCTTGCATTCTGACTTGTACATCTTGCATTCTGACTTGTACATCCTGCATTCTGACTTGTATATCTTACATTCTGACTTTTACATGTTGCATTCTGACTTTTACATGTTGCTTTCTAACATGCACATTATGCTTTCTGCTGTGTGCGACTTGCTTAATTTTATGATGATGTCGTTATTTAACGATCAACTATTATTCATTTGTTGATCTGGTATATTAATTCAATAACTTAACCTGCAACTGTTTGTGTTTGGGTCTATTTACTCAGCTTGAACGACGAATGTCATAAGGTAGAATGCGCATAGCCGAAAGCCGAATGCAGCAAGCATAATACAACGCGACATCTGGTGTAATAATATGTGACACCCAAATTATGCTAACAGGTGGCGCTACAGTTATATTCACGGTAAAGTCCGTATTGCGGTTCGGATTCAGTTTACCAAGTTACGTCCCTTTGTTGTAAAATTTCCATTTGCACTCATGGAGGAAATAAGGTAAACATATATACAAAACGATTTAACCAATTTTTATATTTATTACTGAAACTCTGTAGGTCAAATTATATTTCCAGCTGACAATGACAAGTTGCACATTTCCAAATCAATGGTTTTAGAATTTTAATATGACCAAGTTTCTTGGCCATGGTTTATGTAACCCAAAAAGATCATTGCACCTGATCAGTAGATGACATCTAATAATGTCGAGGTTATTGGGTCAAAAATCAGGGTAAAATTATTGAACAGTCATTACGTTGTATAAATGACCATTTTACACGCTGATGAAGTAGGGGCATCGTTGTACTTTAGCGCATGTCTAGTTAATTGGGGAAATTAATATAAATGGTGTTATCTGTTTGGTTATTTATCTCGTGGCCACGACTTAGTAACTCTTGGCCACGACGTAGTAACTCGTGGCCACGACATAGTATTTCATGGCCAAGACTAAGCTATCTCGTGGCCAATGCTTAGTAACTCGTGGCCACGACATAGTATCTCGTGGCCACGACTTTGCTATCTCGTGGCCACGACATAGTATCTCGTGCGAACGAGATAAATAAAACCACACACATGTCATCTTTGTGCCACCGTATAAAAACGTTCAAAACGCTGTGTGACATATCGTCAAATACCACTTTTTATAAATCCTATTATACCAATACATTTTACGGGCTTAGACGATGAATATCACATTCTCTTGATTTGTATTCACTTTAATACTATACGTAAAAATATTCTACCAGATATATTGGTGAAAAATCCTTCACGTGAAAAATTTATATCTGTTATAAGAAACGCAGATGTGACATTATATAAGACTATCGCACGTTTTCTCGATCATGCACTTAAATAAAGACGCCAATTCAGTACTTAAAAAAATACATACATAAAACTTTATAAAGGTATATATATATAGTGTATTCTACAACTGATCTACGAAATTCTCTTAATATCTCTATATATGTTCAAAGAAAAATTGATATGATGTCTACCAATGTTTATATTACAATTTACTATGTACATGTATATCTATGATCATCTCATTGTATTTTTATGGAGGGTGATTTATGCCAAAATTACATCTTGCTTTCTTACGTTATGTCGTGCTTTCTAACTTGTACATCTTGCATTCTGACATGTACATCTTGCCTTCTTACGTTACAATGCGCTTTCTGACTTGTGCATCTTGAATTCTTACTATTACATTGCGCTTTCTGACTTGTGCATCTTGAATTCTTACTATTACATTTGCATTATGACATGCACACAATGCATTCTGGCTTGCACATCTTGCATTATGACTTGCACATTTTGCTTTTTAAATTGCATGAATCGTTCGTTATTTGACTATCTTCAAGTTTGTCTACGTTAAAGATATATGTTTGATGCTAAAATCAGTTCAGATTAATGATAATGATCGTAAGCTGTCTACATTTAATGTGTACAAAAATAGGAAACCTATGTTAATCGATTATACATGTATAAATAATACATGGAAGCACGCACTGTGCAGTACAACAAGGCAGGTTGCAAACTACACTCTTTTTTACGACAGAGGGCGCAAGTTCGGAAACATGTACGGAACAATACGGAAATTACCGAAAATATACGAGTATCCGGAATATCGATCACAATAGTTATGCCCCTTTTTTGCAATTTAGCCATAATGTTGATGTCATGTGGTCTGATCATTTAAAAAAATTGTTATAAATAAACAACATCTATACACCAAAAGGCAGTTGTAGATTCATTTTTTTGGTAAGTGATAAAGAATTATTGTCAGTGTTGGATTGCAAACAGGGCGTTTCGGCCGCAAACCAAATCGGCCCCTGTGCAAAAATCGGCCCCCTAGACGTTTCGGCCCTTTTCCGCAAGACGTTTCTGCCCTTTTATTGCAGTTTTATTTAATTAATAAAGTCTTGAAATGACTCGAAATCGTTGGATTAAAGGCGACAGGCGTCTGATGTACATGATCGTGTACATTGCCGTCTCGCCTAACACTAGCCTAATTAATTCGGCGTGAACGGTTTGACCCATTTTACAGACTTTGTTTTCTTACTGTCAAACCGTTGGAAAAAGACAGCGCCCGTCCAAAATTATCTCTGTGTCTCTTTGACAAGTCTATTTAGTTGGACTAGCCTAACACACTTAGTGGCTTGATGACAGGAGTTCATATTAGTCCATCTATAGGCTCAACTAGCCAAAATTGTATTTTAGACATACTTAGGAAGGAGCGCACGCTGTTCCCCTATGTGTCACCCTCTGTAATTGCACTTCATGTATGCCTATGGGGCCGATCAAGGATTTCGAGTGAGAGGGGGCGTAACTTATTGGCACAACCTTTTGACATGTACCCATCCTTCATAAAATCAATGTTTAAAATGTCAGCCGGTGATGGGGGTTTGGTTTGTACTCCCCCAAGAAAATTATAACGATTTCTAGACTGAAATGGGCATATTTATCTTATTACCTTTTTATCCAGAATTGAAATAAAAAGTAACTAAGCCGATTTTAGAGCATGCGCACATGGGTACATTTTGTGCTTAGATTTCCCATTTTGTTGAAATTCACAAGCTAAAATAAGGCTAGGCTTCTTTCCAAAATTTGGTGAAAAAGCCCTGTATCATATAAATATGCAGAGCTCTCTTGTTTTCATCTTGTTCAATGTTTATGAAATTATCCTTATTATTTAAATGTGTTCAAGATTGGTAATGTTTTCTTTTCTTTGGGGAATACATGTAGTGGCTGTCCAAATATTTTTATGTATAAACACTCCATGTTTGCTGTTATGTATGTACATATTGAACAACTACAGTAATGCTTTTTATCAGGAAAATAAGTAACCAGTTGAGGGCTTCAGAGCTTTTGCGCCAGGCAGCAAATCTTTTGGTTTCGGAAAATTCATCAACTACTTGTTCTGAATCACAATCAACTCCATCAGTGACAGCAGCAACATCTATTGGTTCAACAACAGTTAACAGAAACCACTCTGCAGAGCTTCGTGCTGCCACTAGGGCACTGTTTGCCCCTTACAACAGAGGGACCCGCAGGCGAGGAAATGCAACAGGGCCACCAGTAACATATTGGACTCATAGATTTTGTCTATTGTCAAAGTGTTTGCAGGTAAATTAATAAATTTTGTAAATAGATGTATAAAATATTGACAGCCAATGTATATGATACAATGTATGTATACAGATTATTTGTTTTATACACTTGGATATAGCCATACTCTTTACCACAAATCTCATTTGATGTATGGTTCAATGTTTAAACTTCTGTGTCTGTTTTTCTGCAAGAAATGTATGAAGTGGCATATAAATTGTGTCGCTCACCAGGTATCAATGGAGTTATGAAGAAATAATTTATACTTTATCCATGATGTTCAATAAAACAAGTTAATTAAGTTGCTCATCAAAGTCACAAACAAGTAATGCTGCATGAGTCATCCATACTCAAGGCACACACTGTGAATTTATTGCTGTTTTAATGTGTTTCCCTTTTTTACTGTTTTAATGTGTTTCCCTTTTTTAATGAACACTACAAAAACAACAACAAATAAACATTCAACAGTTCTCTTTTGTACTCATGTTTTCCTGTTTTATGTTAGTGGTGTGAAAATGATTTCTCCTGTATGGAAATATTTGTAGCGTACATGTACATATTTTGACAACATTTGAATAAAAAAGTAAGTCAGAAAAGCAAAATTGATCTGCAAAAGAAGAAATTTAAGAAAAATTCATAAAAAGTCTTTTTCATATTTTTAAAGGATACAGTTCCTTCACGGGAAGAAAAAGACCTTCTGTTTCAGGCAGGTGTTGGTGAGAAGAAATTGACCATCATCAAAACATACGATGCAGATTTGTTTAAACAAAACCTAGAGGAGGCATTTCCACCCATTATCAATTGTGGTGGATTTGAATTACTTAGAACTTGTGGGAACTCCAAAATACACATTGCAGCCATTGCCAATTCCCCCAGGAGGGTATACCAAAAG